AGATAGAATGAAACTACGTTTTCTATTATTTTTTTCTTAATTAAAGATGTGTTGCTGATCAATTGTTGTCCTTTTATTTCCAATTTTACCCTACTTGTCAAAAGCCAAGAAAACAGTAGTTAAAAAATATATCTCATAAGGATGTGCTTAATGCTGGTAGAAATATTACTATTTTTTTCCCCAGCCTTTTCTCACAACATTCCTAGCCTTTATGGCATCAATCAACGTATAAAGAAAGGGATGGTCACCCTAACATTGTTTTTGAGCTAAACACAAATTAATCTGCACCGACAAACAAGATAATGTACATGAGACATCACTGACAAACAAGAAGATATACAAGATACATCGTTGACAAACATGACATTTTTACGGAGACATCACTGATAAACATTAAGATGTACACAAGACATTACCGACAAACAAGAAGATGCACAGGAGACATCATCAGCAAACAAGATGATGTACAGGAGACATCACTGAAAACAAGAAGAGGTATAAGAGACATAACAAACAAAAAGAATGAAAACGTATGAGACACATCATTGACAAACAATGAAGAGGTACAGGAGACATCACTGACAAACAAGATAAAGATTAATTGCTGACAAATAAGATGATGTATAAGAGACATCAGTGACAAACTAGAAGAAAGATGTATGAGAGACATCACTGAAAAACAAGATGAAGGAAAAGAGACATCACTGACAAACAAGATGTACAAGAGACATCACTGACAAACAAGATGTACAAGAGACATCACTGACAAACAAGAAAGAAGATGTATGAGAGACATCACTGATAAACAAGAAAGAAGACCTATGAAAGACATCACTGATAAACAACGGAGCATACTTACTGGCTTCCTCTTCCAGGGAGGCAAGCACAGCCTTGACTTTGGCAATGTCCGATCTCAGAATATGAGGAATCAATGTCTGGTGCTGGAATATAATAACTCAAATATTGACAGCCAAAATGACCAGCATGGGTAGAAGCCACATCAGTTTATCTACACCTACATTATATGGCTTTCCTAGAGCTCTTATAAAAAGAACTTATTGATTCCTACAAGATATCTACTATACTACATTCTAGCCCTACAGTGTTCCACTAAGACAACTGCAATATTATTACACTTTGCACATGTATTTTTAGATGCTATAAGAACAAGATACCATATGACAGATATTACTACTCACCCACCATGACTGTTAGGACATTGGGGTCACACTGCTACATTCACTTTTCCTTCCATTCACATTTACTTCTAATACAAGGGAGACACACTTCTATACTAAACCATCTTGACTTCTGACACATGGGAGACACATTTCTATACTAACCCACCTTGACTTCTGGTAAAGGGACACACATTTCTATACGAACCCATCATGACTTCTGACACATGGGAGACACATTTCTATACTAACCCACCTTGACTTCTGGTAAAGGGACACACGTTTCTATACCAACCCATTATGACTTCTGATACATGGAAAACACATTTCTTTACTAACCCACCTTAACTTCTGGGACAAGGGAAGACACATTTCTATACTAACCCACCTTAACTTCTGGGACAAGGGAAGACACATTTCTACACTAACCCACCTTGACTTCTGGTAAAGGGACACACATTTCTATACCAATCCATCATGATTTCTGTTACATGGAAAACACATTTCTTTACTAAACCCACCTTAACTTCTGGGACAAGGGAAGACACATTTCTACACTAACCCACCTTGACTTCTGGTAAAGGGACACACATTTCTATACTAATCCATCATGACTTCTGATACATGGAAAACACATTTCTATTCTAACCCACCTTAACTTCTGTGACAAGGGAAGACACATTTCTACTAACTTCACTTCAGGTGCAAGGGACACACATTTCTACACTCGTTTGCCCCATTTCTGAGACATGGGCATAACATGGCTATACTCACCCTTTTTCTTATTTGTGCTAACAGGCTGTAAAACCCGGTAGAAGTTCTTGTTGCTTGTCCATTTCTGGACTTTAGGCTTTTTTTCTTTTTAAGAACCTGAGTATTGCATGCATATCCATTTTAGAAATCTAGTTTGTCTAGTTTCTCAATGAGGTAAAAATGAAACATTGTATGAAAGGAGCGGAGTGGAAGGGCAGAATGTTAGACGGGCCTGCGTGCCCAATTCTTAACCCTTTGAAAATAAAGTTTGTTTGTTCGTTCACCTTGCAGACAGATGCATTCTGATTTTAAAGGAAACCCCCCCTAACTGGTTCTATGACATCACCTGGTGGTGGGTCTATCCCCCCCCCCCCCAATAGGACCACAAAACCCACACAAGGAGAACTCCCCTGCTTTGGCTTCTACAGCCTTCAGAGACTGACCACATTCAACTGACCTTGACAGTAAAGGCAATGACAAGAGCTGCTTCTTTCCCAGACAGAGCAAATGTGGATAACCTCTGAACTTTCATGGACACTGAGGTCACAGGTGGGAGGTCAAGCCAAATGGGATCACGAATGTTCTCACTGCAGTCCTTAGCTAGTGGGTAGATGGCACTGTTCCCATCTCGAAGGATCATGGAGGCATTTGGAGGTGGCTGAGGAAACACAATCATACATATCATCTACGGAGACATCACCCCACTGGCAGAATCTAATTCCAGACCAGAACATGGTGAACAAATTACTTAAACTGACATCTGATGTTGCAGTAAATATTACTGATTTTTTTTTTACTAAATTAACAAATTAGGCTGATGTTCGGTAAATCTACAGCAAATATCGCTGATGTTTTACTAAATTTGAAAAAGAATAAAGCTGACATCATTACATCTGCAGCAAATATTGCTGTTTTCTTAAGATTAAAAGAATCAAGTTTACGTTTTAAATAAATCTGCAGCAAATCTAAGAACAATAAGGCAAATGTTTTATTAAACAGTTAACAAATATAACTACTTTGTCAAATGTGTAACAAATATAACATATTTTAATACATGATGACATGCATGGTTATCACATTTTAGATCATATATGTGTGTGTCTCTCTCACTCACTCACTCAGTTTCACGCACACACACACACACTCACTCACGCTAACTCTCTCGCACACACTTTCACTCACACACGCACTCACACACACACTTTCACTCACACACACACACACACTCTCTCTCTCACTCACTTACTCACTCTGTCTCATTCTCTCACTCTCACTCACTCACTCATCTCTCTCACTCACTCTCTTTCACACACACTCACACTCTCTCTCTCTCTCTCTAACCTCCACCTCTTCCCAACTGTCTCAACCTTAAAGATTCTTCTAGCCAGACTTACAATGCCACAGGTTTGTAGAGAAACATCTACAGTTCTAGTGCCAAGGAATGCATCAGCACTGGTTGGGAACAGGCAGTTGTGGTCCACCTTTCCCGTACTAAGGTTGTGGAAGCTGTAATAAAGTCTAGAGCCACTCCTTGATATCATGTGAATGCCTGCAACAGTCAGAAATCATGTGAATGTCTGCAACAGTCAGATATCATATCAATATATTCAACTTAGATATGTGAATATCTGCAACAGTCAGATATCATGTGAATATCTGCAACAGTCAGATATCATGTGAATGGCTGCAGTCAGAAATCATGCGAATGTCTGCAACAGTCAGATATCATATCAATATATTCAAGTTAGATATCTGAATATCTGCAACAGTCAGATAACATGTGAATATCTGCAACAGTCAGATATCATGTGAATATCTGCAACAGTCAGAAATCATGTGAATGTCTGCACAGTCAGAAATCATGCGAATGTCTGCAACAGTCAGATATCATATCAATATTTTCAAGTTACATATGTGAATATCTGCCACAGTCAGATATCATGTGAATGCCTGCAACAGTTGGATATCAAGTAAATATCTGCAACAGTCAGATATCATGTGAATGCCTGCAACAGTCAGATATCATGTGAATATCTGCAACAGTCAGATATCATGTGAATATCTGCAACAGTCAGATATCATGTGAATATCTGCAACAGTCAGATATCATGTGAATATCTGCAACAGTCAGATAGCATGTGAATATCTGCAACAGTCAGATATCATGTGAATATCTGCAAAAGTCAGTTATCATGTGAATATCTGCAACAGTCAGATATCATATAAATATATTCAAGTCAGATATGTGAATGCCTGTAACAATCAGATATTATATCAACATAAGTCATAGATATTATGTGAAAGCCTGCAACAGTCAGATCTCATATCGATATATTAAAGTTAGATGTCATGTGAATGCCTGCAATAATCAAAAATCATATCAATATATTTAAGTCAGATATCATGTGAATACCTGCAACAATCAGAAAAAATTTCAATATAAGTCTTGTATATCATGTGAATGCCTGCAACAGTCAGGTATCATGTGAATATCTGCAACAGTCAGATATGATATCAATATATTTAAGTCAGATATCATAGGAATGTCTGCAACAGTCAGGAAAGGAACAGTTTAGCATTAATTCTAGTCATATGGGTGGGGTGTGAACAGAGGTATGTGAAAATGAGGTAAGCAGTCAATAAGACTGGCCACACACAAAATATAAATAAAAAGACATGTAGATGCAAGAAGGCAATGAGTAAGTAAATGACAGAGGAAAAGGCATTACCAAGACAAATAAGGGAGAAGGGAAGAAAAACAATAAAACCAATGCTCACCAACAAACGTGTCATAAAATGGACTAATTAAGGGTGTTTCATTTGAAGCCTCAGTGCACCTGCCTCACAGGTGAGGAATCAAAGGTGTGCAGACAAAGAAAAGCCTATCTGTAAAACAGATGTGCATATAAAACTCAAGTTCTAGAAGAACAAACAAGAACTTTATGTTCCAGTTTACAGCCGGTGAATGCTAAAAAGAAGAAAGCAAAGGTTTTAGAAACCAGTGAGAGAAACAGCAAGAGAAAGAGATAAGGATCAGAAAGATGGCAATTTGTGGCCAGTTAATGAATAATGAGGAAGAGTGAGGGGAGACAATGCTACATTTCTGTATCTTTGTTGTCTCCACTCATAACATTCACCAGTTTCCCTGTTGGGAGGGGGGGGCGGGGGGCTGCGGCGGCTGCTGAACCCTAACAGTAAAAAAAACAAAAACAAAACAATCCCTTTTCACGCCTTTAGGCGCATCAGGCATATGGGAAGAGCACCCATATTTTTACAGACTAATCAGCACTAGGTGGGTAATGTGGTAAGCATTACGCCGGCGGTCTTTACTTCCCCAGGACATACATCCTCTTACCTATTTTAGGCTGGGTCGACCTGCGACGCTCCATACCATGATACAAAAATCAATGCAGCCTGCAGTAGGTTTCGATCACGGAACGTTGGAATTACGAGTCGGACTTAAAACGCATAAGTGAACCCTAACAAGTTTGCTGTAAAAGGCTGCTCGTTAGGGTTTTAAAGAAATCAGATGTGCAGACGTTGCAGCCTAACTGTAAGCCACAACACAGCGTGCTAATCATGTGTAGAAGGAGGTTCATCAGTCTTTAATCCTCTTCTCCGTGTATTTTAGTTCTTCCTATATTTCTATTAGGAGTCGCCATGGCAGAGCGGCTAGACGCTCGCAGCGGATCGGAAGGTAGTGGGTTTGTTCCCTCTCAGAGCTTGACTTTTTTTTTCAAATGACCTTGGCTCCCAGGTCGATCCAGCCCCATGGAAGTAGAGTCTACCTGCGTGCTGCTGACCACATCACCCATCTTGTGTCGACTGGTCTATAAAATATTGGTCTAGCACTATATGCCCTATACGCCTAAAGGCGTGGAAAAGGGTCCTTTACTTTACTTACTATATTTTATTTCCATTGCCCTGTCTCAGGGACAGGATATTCTAGTTACAATACCATTTTTTTTTTTCAACATTTCACTAGGATTTATTTATAGCTCCATGCAAGAGCTCTATGATAAATTTTATTTCTTCTATTCTGCTAAGGTAAAATTTACTCAATGTTTCCAGTTTATCAGTACTTTGCTTGCATTCACCAGTTGCGAACTGTGAAAAGTCCTAATTGTTCTTTCGTTTAGACTTGACTTCATGCCAGAACCTGAGTTTTGCGTGTATATCCGTTGTACTGGCATATTTGTGGCAGAATGGTATCCCTTAATTTTAGGGCAGCCGGTACTCTGACTTTAAAGAAAAGTTTATCAGTAACTGTTCCAGTTGTTCTCCATGTTTCTAATCCATACAACAGTAGTGCTTTGACATCATAGTTGAATATTCTTAGTTTGGTCACAGATTCAATGTATTCTGATTTCTGCACATTTCCTGGTCCTATCAAGGCATCTCCTGATTCTTCTTTTTAATCAGGCAGCAAGTCTACCATTCCATAACTGAACTGTGCTATAAATGTAAAAGCATTGCACCGTTTCATTCACTGTTAGCATTTACCTGGGAGACAGACCACTAATATGAACATCTCTGGAGAATTCAGCCCCTTACTGACCAAAAAAGTGAAGGTAGACCACATACCTTCTGTATCTACAGCCACAGTTTCTATCTGACCATGTTCAGCTATAGTCACTTTCTTGGGAACTTTCTGAAAACAGTCTGGGTTTCTCGTACCTCCAGTGTTTTTAACAACCTGTGGAGAACAGCAGTCAAGAGATCATCTCATTACTGACCCTACAACAATAGAATAAATCCTATTCTGTAAGAAAAAGTTTACTTTTACTTTGTGAGAAACAAAAAATATGCATCCCACCCTTTCAGAAATAATATGTGACATTACCAGCTAACAGGCAACATAAATATTCTGTGGACCTATCAGCTACCAGTTTCCTTAAAAATATCATCCTTTGGAACTAACAACTACAACTGACATTAAAAATAACCTTTGGAACTACTAGCTACCATTATCTTAAAAATAAACATTACATGCAGCAACTTCATATAACTGTCCTTAGCGGCATCAAAATATGCAGCTGCCAACTAGCAATGTCCCTAGAGATATCAATCTGTGGCAGCTACAAATTTCCTATAGACATCAATCTGTGGAGATACCAGCTACCATTGTCCTTAGATGTATCGATCTGTGGGAGATACAACCTACCATTGTCCCTAGAGATATCAATATGTGACACCTACAACCTTTCTTAGAGATGTCAATCCATGAACCTACCAGCTACCATTGTCCTTACATACATCCATTTGTGGGAGCAATCAGCTGCAACCGTCGTCCCTGTGGACATCAATCTGTGGGAGCTAAAAGTTACCATTGTACCTACAGCCATGCATCTGTGGGTCTGACAGATATCCCTAGAGACATCAATACATGGTGCTACCATCAGCTCAAGAAGTATCAAAAAGGCATCAATCCATAGACCAACATATGTGCCTACCAGGGAGCTACCACTGCCACTATAAACTTCAACTAATGTGTAGGTGTGAATTTCTTCTAAGAGACAGACTGAAACCTATACCTGCAGTTCATCTTTTCTCAGCAAACGACAGTCTTGGAGTAGAGAAACATCATCTTTGCTGCAACCAGCAACATCTGTATCTCTGTTGAACCTCACAGCGGCACATGCCCCATCTACCTACAAAACAAAAACAAACCTTTATTACATCTATCATATTTGTATATATAGTGAAACCTCTGTAATCAGAAATTCTAGGCACTAAAAAAAATATACCACAAATAATCATAGATGCTGGGACTGAAATTTTGTTCATATTAACCGAGTGTTCATCTGAACTGTAAGACCCAGATATTTTTTATCTGTACTTGTTACATTGCTACTGTTTTGTCACCGGATCTTTTCTATCTCTATGATGAAATAATAATAAGCGAGGTCAAGGATAGATCAGGAGACTAGTCTGAGGTTATAATATAATCTTCATTATGCATATGATACAGTATTAATAGCTGAAAGCGCAGAAGACCTACAACAATTATTAGACAGTGTGGTACTAGAGAGTGCACACATCAAAAAGTACCTTCTCTGAATGTTAGGAAAAGAGAACAACGGTATATCAAAGAAGAAGATAACTTCCAAATGTTACACCGCAACAGAAGGGAAAGTGCTCAACTGAGTCAAAAAGTTCAAGTATTTGGGGAAATTTGGGTTGGATAAAGTGTAACAGAAATTAAAAGCGGAACTGAGCTTATTCTGTTGTATGTCAGTAAATCTTGGAATATGAGCAAACAAATTCAGAAGAGTTTGGAGGCAACTGAGTGGTTCTTGAGAATGTGAATACCCTAGACCATCAGAATAACTAAGAATGATTGCCTGGAAATGATTAATTAAAGTATCACATTACATACAACAATGAGAGGGAGACAAAGTTCTTTGGTCATGTGATGAGAAAAAGAGCACTGGAAAGTACTGTGATGACTGGAAATATCACTGGTAGAAGAGGCGGTGGAAATAATGGTGGATGGCTTAAAACAGTGGCATGGAGGAATACCATCAGTGGAATTGATCCAAAACAGTAAAGACCAAGATCTGCGGAGATGCATGAATACCTACACCAGCTGGCTAGGCACTTGATGATGATAATGTTATTGTTATATATAAGCATACAAATCTGAAGCAGTTACACAAAGACATCATAAGACAGGAGAAGATAAACTAACAAACTGGATAAAATGAGTTAATGAAGCAGTTATCTAATATAGACAAATGCAAGAAATGATGTTGCCCTTGGAATTACCAAGAAATACAGTGTAAAAGTTGCCTGATACCCAAAGAGTTGAGTGAGTCTGTATCAACGAGGTTGCTGGTGGTAGTAGGGGGTGGGGCGAGTATCACAGCAGCACAATGGCTAAGTATCCTTAAGATCACGTTCAGTTCGACCTAGCTTAAATGAGTACCAGGAAATATCTTCAGAAGGCAGCCAGCAAGATGCTGACCAAACAATCTGTCAAGAGGCTGGTCTATTCAATTTGAGACAAGCCCCATATGCCAAAGGCTTCAAAAGGGGTCTGACATTTTTTGTTCAAAAACCTAGATATAAACATACCAATTACACACACAACATATCTAATGTGTCTACAACAACAACAAAAACAACTGTTTACACCATGCTAAATAATTATCTAATATTTATCAAACCAATCGTTTATCTCTTTGCACAAATAATTCTTTATCTGTCACATTTATAACGCAAAAAACCATCATTTATTTACATTATGTCAGCACAAAAACACTTTAAAACAGAGGAAACAACAGACTGACATTTAATCACCACAGTAGGAGGAAACATAATGAAGGAAACAGCAGACATAAGATTAACATGAGAAGTCATAACAAAGGTAACAACAGACATTTAATCATCATAGCAAGATAAGTGAATAAAGATTATATCACCACTGTAAGATAATGAAAGAAACAACAGTCATAAGATCAACAATAAAAGACAATATAATAAAGAAAACAGATATTCAATCACCACAGGAAGACAATGAAAGAAACAATAGACATTCAATCACCACAGCAAGATAACTAAGAAAAAAAAACAGATTATATCACCATTAAGATAATGAAGGAAGCAACAGACATAAAATCAACATTAGAAGACAATATAATGAAGAAAACAGACATTCAATCACCACAGGAAGACAATAAAAGAAACAACAGACATTTAATCATATGAAAGCACACACAAAATATAAAGAAAGCAACATACATCCAATAAACACAATAAGACACACTATAATAAGGATCAATAGCCATAAGAACAGTACAAGACAAAAAAACTATACCTTCAGAACTTTTCCCAGCTGAACAGTTTTGACATCTTCCACAAAGACCACCATTTTCAATGGCCAGCGCTCCTCCTTGTCATCATCCTTGATAGGAGTTACTGGACCTTTCTTTCTCTCTGGGGGCAAAATCATTTGTATATTTATAATCACATGTCTAACAATAATCAACATGCATAAAATCTACATATTAACTGAGCAAATTCACAGAGACTTGCCAATATTTTAATAATTCATCTTCGTCTCATTCAGCAGCTGCATTTTTGGTTGTTCGTCCATGCTCCAGAGCTTGAGTTTCGCATGCACATACATTTAACAGATCTAGCATTTATGTTTGGAGGCCGCTGGTTCCTTGCCTCCCAGCAAATGTACTCCACTTGGAAAGAAACACCACTAATGAGTCAAATTTTACAAAATACTTGTTAAGATGGGGAGGGGGGCCAAAACCCACACAGGGATGCCAATATACAACCTAAAAAACATGATAAGAAATTATTTCCTACATCCACAACACTCTGACTGACTGACTAAGTGTTGGATAGAAGACCCTACAGAACTAATCAATGTGATATTCTGGACCCGGGCATAAATATTTCTAGGCAAACACCTAGGCATCGATTTACTGCTGCATCTCCCTCTAAAGCAAAGCAGGTTGAGAACCTTGCATTGCAGAATAAGGTTTCAGAATGTTATCAACCTCAATCTGAAGACAGAGAAAAGCAGGCAGTATTTAAAAACACTGTGTGCAGGCCCCCTAAGGCAAACAGCTATGGAAGCTACAGAACATGATACTGAGGCCTCTATCTCTGATCGGCCCTTGTGACACAGCAAATGGCGATGGCCAGGAATGCCAAATCCTTGTCTGGCTGACTTCCACGAAAGATGATTTCATGTCAGCAGCCCCTGGTATATATTGGAGAACTCAAATATTAATCCAGATTACATCATATGTCAAGACTATCATCATCCTGCCAGCTTGCTACCTCCCACGGTACATATCAAATCAGGTCTGTGTTCTGACTGTGCCATGTAGCCAACTAGATAACTATATCTTTCTCTTCCCCTTTTCATGTCAAGTTTAAGAGTTGTGACAAAGTTCTCCAGCGCAAACATTTTGACTGTGTTTAAATGTCCAAATCAGTTTACAGTCATCTGTTTTTCAAAGGACTTTTTCATTAGTTGTTCTATCAATCCGTACTTTCTGTTTTTCCCAGTAAAGATCTCTGTTCCTAACATAAATTTCTCCATGTACCTGCTTTCTGTCTGTGCTTCACATGTCAACAAGAGTGCAGATCTGTATAGCAATGCCATGCCCTTTCTTTTTCTGATTGCAACTGAAACCTTTGTATAGATGATCATTTTTCTTTCTGAAGCATGATTGGGTGTCATGGTAAGAATACAATCAAACCACATGTGCCTGGGCTTTGGTTAACAAGGTTTATTGTTGTGGTTTTCTGTAAATACAGGCTGTGCTGACAGATCTATTGTGTGTGTGTGTGTGTGTTCCCCTTTCCCACCTTCTTTCAGCTTCTCAGTTACAGTTCAGTGGAGTTATTTCTGGTGACTACTCAGAGAAACAGCCTGACCATACACAGACAGCCATGACAACTCAGACAACACAACTAGCTACACAAAGAAACAAAGTGATACGTACTCAAAGAACTTGTAGATATTGAGGCACTACTGTGATCACTACAAACAGAGGATGCAGGTGATGGTGGAGGCATATCTGTCTTGATCTCACTGCTCTTGGCCGGTTCCGGTTTCAGAGGTTCCGCTTTCAACTCTCTGAGGATACAAACATATTTGTTTATATGAGCTGGTGAAAAACACCTGTATATCTCTAGCTGATAAGTTCACAGGCATAAACTCTAGTTGGTGAGATTAGTTCACCAGCATAACTCTAGTTGGTGAGATTAGTTCACCAGCATAACTCTAGTTGGTGAGATAAGTTCACCAGCATAACTCTAGTTGGTGAGATTAGTTCACCAGCATAACTCTAGTTGGTGAGATTAGTTCACCAGCATAACTCTAGTTGGTGAGATTAGTTCACCAGCATAACTCTAGTTGGTGAGATTAGTTCACCAGCATAACTCTAGTTGGTGAGATTAGTTCACCAGCATAACTCTAGTTGGTGAGATTAGTTCACCAGCATAACTCTAGTTGGTGAGATTAGTTCACCAGCATAACTCTAGTTGGTGAGATAAGTTCACCAGCATAACTCGGTGAGATTAGTTCACCAGCATAACTCTAGTTGGTGAGATTAGTTCACCAGCATAACTCTAGTTGGTGAGATTAGTTCACCAGCATAACTCTAGTTGGTGAGATTAGTTCACCAGCATAACTCTAGTTGGTGAGATTAGTTCACCAGCATAACTCTAGTTGTTGAGATCAGTTCACCAGCATAACTCTAGTTGGTGAGATTAGTTCACCAGCATAACTCTAGTTGGTGAGATTAGTTCACCAGCATAACTCTAGTTGGTGAGATTAGTTCACCATTATAACTAGTTGGTGAGATAAATAACCAGCGTTAGTTGGTAAGATAAATTCACCAGCATAACTCTAGGTGAGATAGCTTGCATCACTGCAGCTGGTGAGATAACTTGTATATCTCTAGCTGGTGAGATAACTTGTATATCTCTAGCTGGTGAGATAACTTGTATATCTCTAGCTGGTGAGATAACTTGTATATCTCTAGCTGGTGAGATAACTTGTATATCTCTAGCTGGTGAGAAAACTTGTATATCTCTAGCTGGTGAGAAAACTTGTATATCTCTAGCTGGTGAGAAAACTTGTATATCTCTAGCTGGTGAGAAAACTTGTTTATCTCTAGCTGGTGAGATAACTTGTATATCTCTAGCTGGTGAGAAAACTTGTATATCTCTAGCTGGTGAGAAAACTTGTATATCTCTAGCTGGTGAGATAACTTGTATATCTCTAGCTGGTGAGATAACTTATATATCTCTAGCTGGTGAGAAAACTTGTATATCTCTAGCTGGTGAGATAACATGTACGTAGCCGGTGAGATAAATTATCTCTTGCTGACATAGTGAGCATGGTACATAGAAATAACATCTTTAACAAAACCACATTAAAATTTCCCCATACTGTAATGAGAATGATAATAATTATACCTTTATCAAAACCATACTAAAATCTGTAGACTGAGATGTGCATTATGCCTGCATATCTCTTCTTCTTTCTCTTAAAGTCGGTGCTGTGTAGCATGAATAGTCATGTCTATCCATAACCTTCTGTCTTGTGTACTTTCAATCAATTCTGACACAGATGATCCTCCACGCCATGAAGTCAAACTGCCCAGCATCTTCTCTCTCCATCTCCCTCTGCCTCCCCTACAAATTATCTGACTCTCCTAATTCACTCGAGTTTTTTCCTCCTAATGACATGACTGAAGAATGTAGGATTGCCTCTTTTTGATGTAGGCAATAATTTTGCTTTGTGATCAATTTCTTTAAAGACATCTTAGTTACTCTTTCTTTATTTGTCCAGGGTATTTTTATCACCGTCTATAAAACCACACCTCCATAGCTTCCAAACCATGTTTCATCATTCTACGAACTGTCTAGGGAAGCCACCGCGATGTAGTGGCTAGATGCTCGCCTGCGAATCCGAGCCAGACTTTTAATTTTTCAAAAATGAGCTTGGCTCCCAGGTCGACTTGGCTTTCAATGGGTATCAGATACAGTCCTTGGGAAGTGAATGCGCCCAATATGATGTTGACCATATCCCCCACCAAGTGCAGATTAGTCTATAAAATACAGATCTAGACCTATTTGCCAAATACACCTAAAGGCATGGAAAAAGGGGCCTTTACCAGTTGTTCATGATTCATTTCCATATATCAGGACAGGATTTATGTATATATAGCTTTTAAGAATTCTCTCTTTTTCGTCTCAACTGACAAAGATTGCATAGAAAAAAAGATGACACCTTGAACAAAATTACTGTAAAATCTCTAGACTGAGATGAGCTTGGTACATAAAGACACACTTTTGGCAGAAACATACTAAATTCTCCAGACTGAGATGAACATAATACATAAAGATGACATTTTGACAAAACTATAGACAAATCTCTTGACCCATATTTCTAGATTGATATGAGCTTGAAATATAAAAACCCCTTTAGCAAAAACAAAAATGACATCAACTTAACCACACTAAAATCCCCCTGGGTATGAAATATAAACAAACCATTCTAATAGTTTTACAGATTGAGATAAACTGAGATTAACATAAAATGTTAACGATGTGTCAACTGCCAGCTTAATAACCAAACCAATGTCACAGAAAGTCCTAATACAAATGACAAGACAGTTCTAAGCTAAGTGACAGACAGTCATAATCTAACTGCTAGTAAGATAACATAACATCAAGTGGCAGCTTAATAACAAAACCAATGTCACCCAATGTCCTAACACAAAAGCCAAGTGACAGACAGTCCTAACCTATCTAACTGATAGTGATTTGTGATTAAAAAGGATTATCATCACACCACTCCAGACAGACTCATAGGTGGCCTGATCTCCTCATCAAAAGCTCCACAAATGTAAAACGACTGATGACGCCTGTTCTGTGTTGGTTAATGAAACGTCTTGTCCCCTTAGTGAAATGTTCATTTCTTGCAGATCCAGGCTGCACCCCCATGTCCATCAGTCTAGACAGGGATATGGAGTCATGTTCTTTGGCGTGCTCCTTGAGCAGTAAGTGCAACATAGTCTGCACGCTCGTTTCCTTGAACTCCCGTATAACCTGGCACAGAGATAAAGGTTAGGGCAGATATTCGTGAAGTGATTAGTGTTGCAATTTATTCTCGCCTGATAAATCCAGCTGGGATTTTTTTTAACTTTTTCATCGATAGTAATTAATAGTAAGATAACATAGCAATGCAAATGGGAAAATGCTTACACTCCAGGCTGGCGAATACGAAAGCGACAGGTGTCACTGAGAGCCCAGGCTGACTCCAACAGCTGGCCAACTTTGGGAACCCCACTGATTTCTGTGAAGGCGATGGCCCCAGCGTTGTACAATGGGGCACTCCTCAAGCACACAGTTGCCCCAGCGACAATGTCCGATGACATCAATGTCTCCTTGGCTTTCTTCTTCTTGCTGGAACGTTCCACAAGCTTCTTTCTCTGGGCGAATGGCATCACTCCCCTGAAACAGTGCCAGAAATCATCCAAGTTAAACAGTATCTATTATTTAAATGTATAGTCTTTTAAGTCTTTCTTTAAACGAGTAGAATTTTATTTTTTTTTTCAACTTTAATTCCTGTTTTCTTTAAAACTGTAATTGCAAGACTTGACAGCTGGATGTCTCAGAATTTACATTGTAAAAAAACTAAGCTATCACTACAAAGGTAAGCGTTACAATAAGAGGAAGTTTTTTTTTAAATTATCTTTTTTTTCTTCTTATTGTGTGTCAACCGCCCCTTATTTGCTACTCAATGCCCACCAATTTCCTTATTCCTTCCTTTCCCCCCTTATCCCCACCCAAAATGCTCGACTTTAACTGTTAAAAGTGCGAACTTACCACCAGTATAGCGCGCCACTCTCCAGTCTAGCACAAGAGTATAGGCTGCAGGTGTGCAGGGACACTACTCTATCTGACTGGAACTCTGAGAAATGTTGAGCAGGGTGCTCCAACTTAGCAGACACTGAGTTTAAGCTCTCATCCAACCAAGTAGCAATCTAAAGGGACCAGATTCAGTGAGCATGTAAACAAATCTGCCGCAATAATCTGTTTGAGTATTTATCACATCACAGATAGACCACAGAAATTGGCAGGAACAGCACTTAGCAAAGTTCCTTGCCTTTACCGGCTGTATACTCTGTGGAGAGTTCTGGTTGTTCGTCCACTTCTAGACTAGTCTTGTCCTAAAACCTGAGTGTTGTGTGCACATCCATTTCACAGATCTGATTCATTTCTATGCAAACTGTTGATTCATTGCATCACTGGCAGATGTAGTTCGACTTCAAATGAAGTTCCCAATTAGTCGACTTTTACGATATGCTTGTGAAGCCAGTGGGTCTATTCTTGTGTTCTCCACAATGGTCTCCGGAACCCACTCGGGAAATGCAGTGAAGAAGTGAATAAATCCGCCTCAATTATCTGCTCAAATTTATCACATCACTGATAAACAGGTTAGCAATCTACATGGACAAGATTGAGTGAATACATGTACATGAATAAATTGTCGCAAGAAGCTTTGTATAGTTATCACATGATAGATCACAGTTAGCACTTTACAGGGACATGATACAATAAATATGTGAATAAATGTGCCTCAATTATTTGCGTGTATTTATCACATCACATACAGATTATAGTTAGCAATTTATAGGGACTAGATTTAGTGAACATGTGAATAAATCTATCTCAATTTGTTATGTGTATTTATCACGTTGTAGATAGATTATAGTGAGCAATTTACAGGGATATGATTTAGCACATTCATGTGAATAAATCTGCACAATTATGTGTCAAAGACAGACCACTGCTAGCAATTTAACAGGGACAATTTTTCAAAAGAAGTATAGCGATGAACATTCTGTGCGTTTTTCATTGGCACAGGGGCACAGCAACTTCAACTGCAATGAAGCTGAAACTACGATTACCAATAACAAGAGTAACTGAACATGTAAATAAATCTGCCTCAATTATCGGTGTGTATTTATCACATCAGACAGACAGACACAGCAATTAGCTATTTACAGGGATAAGATTCAGTGTGCACATAAATTAATCTGCCTCAATTATCTATGTGTTTTTATCACATCAGAGATAGACCACTATTAGCAATTTACAGGAACAAAAATTTAGTGAACATGTAAATAAATTTATTTGCTGGGACAAAATTCTGTGAATATATAAATATTTCTGCCACAATTACCTGTATGTACCTATCACATCATAGACCACAGTTAGCAATCTACATGAAAAAGATTCAGTAAACATGTAATTAGATCTTTTTTAAGCTTGTCTAACATGTGGTGCCTAAATAATATATTAGGGCAACATGTAATACTGTGTCCACATTCCTGACATATCTAAGAACAAGAGACCGGAAATGCACCTACCTTCCCTGATTCTGTGAGAACTGAAGCCCTAACCATACATGTTGACAACAGGGTTATCTTCTCCTGTACAAGTCCCAATGCTGAAGCTTTTGGGTGATGAATGTTGGCATTCTGAAATCAGACAGTAAAATATCACTCCATGTATAATTACAGCAGCACATCTGTGAAACATCACTGCATGTTTAATAACAACAGCACATCTGTGAAACATCACTGCATGTATAATAACAATAGCACATCAGTAAAACATCGCTGTATGTATAATAACAACAGCACATCAGTGAAATATCACTCCATGTATAATTACAACAACACATCCATGAAATATCACTCCATGTATAATTACAACAACACATCCATGAAATATCACTGCATGTATAATTACAACAACACATCCATGAAATATCACTGCATGTATAATTACAACAGCACATCCGTGAAATATCACTGCATGTATATTTACAATAGCACATCTGTAATATATCATTGCATGTAAAAAAAAAAAAAAAATTTTAACTTAGAACACATCAGTGAAACATCATACACTTTAATCTAAATATCATCACTGTACTCAATATCAATCACTGCACTCACTATCAATCATTCATGACAGTAAATAACCTAGCAGATAGAAGATTCAGATACCACCCACTCTCTCAGACAACAATGTGACTTTCAGACACCAAACCAAAAAGACTCAGACACCAGTCAACTCTCCCAGTCACCAAACTCTCCCAGACACCAGCCAGACTCTCTTGACACCAGTCAGACTCTCAAACACTAAGTCAGACTCACAGACATAACTCTCCTAGACACCAGCTACTCGCTCAGAATAGAGTGATACTCTCAGACACTGAACTCTCCCAGACACCAGTCAAACTCTCCCAGACACTGGTCAAACTCTCCCAGACACCGGTCAAACTCTCCCAGACACCGGTCAAACTCTCCCAGACACAAGTCAAACTCTCCCAGACACAAGTCAAACTCTCCCAGACACAGGTCAAACTCTCCCAGACACAGGTCAAACTCTCCCAGACACCGGTCAAACTCTCCCAGACACCGGTCAAACTCTCCCAGACACAGGTCAAACTCTCCCAGATACCGGTCAAACTCTCCCAGACACAAGTCAAACTCTCCCAGACACCGGTCAAACTCTCCCAGACACCGGTCAAACTCTCCCAGACACAGGTCAAACTCTCCCAGACACCGGTCAAACTCTCCCAGACACCGGTCAAACTCTCCCAGACACCGGTCAAACTCTCCCAGACACCAGTCAAACTCTCCCAGATACCAGTCAAACTCTCCCAGACACAAGCCAAACTCGCCCAGACACCTCTCAAACTCTCTCAGACACCGGTCAAACTCTCTCAGACACCTCTCAAACTGTCCCAGACACCAGTCAAACTCTCCCAGACACCAGTCAAACTCTCCCAGACACCAGTCAAACTCTCCCAGACACCAGTCAAACTCTCCCAGACACCAGTCAAACTCTCCCAGACACCAGCCAAACTCTCTCAGACACCTCTCAAACTGTCCCAGATACCAGTCAAACTCTCCCAGACACCAATCAAACTCTCCCAGATACCGGTCAAACTCTGCCAGATACCGGTCAAACTCTTCCAGATACCGGTCAAATTCTCCCAGATACCATTGAAACTCTCAGATACCAGCGAAACTCTTCCAGACTCCAGTAAAGCTCTCCCAGATACTAATGAAACTCAGATACCAGCGAAACTCTTCCAGACACCAGTAAAGCTCTCCCAGATACTAAAAAAAACTCAGATACCAGCGAAACTCTTCCAGACACCAGTAAAGCTCTCCCAGATACTAAAAAAACTCAGATACCAGCGAAACTCTTCCAGACACCAGTAAAGCTCTCACAAATACCAACCAAACTCTCAGACACTAAACTTTTCCAGACTCCAGTGTAACACCAGTCAGATATGACAGTCAGTAATAATAGATGATTTCCACACAAACATAAAAAGGGTAAGTCTCCATCCTCAATAGTCATAAACAAGTCCTGTCACTATCAGAGCTTCAACCTAATTCACTCTCTTGACAAACCAGTGTGCTAACCACCACACCACACTGACCTGTGATGAAAACATTATTTGTATACTTTATAAATGTAAATAACCTAGTACATCATATTTATAGTACAGACCTGTAGACAATCCAGAGCATAACATTCACAATATTTACCTATAAACAACTCAGTATTTACCCGGGGAAGGGGGGGATCTAGTGCACAATGTTCACAATATTTCCCCTATAAACAACGTAGTATTTACTGGGGGGGGGGGGGGTCCAGTGCATAATGTTCACAATATTTACCTATAAACAACGTAGTATTTACTGGGGGGGGGGGAGATCCAATGCATAATGTTCACAATATTTACCTATAAACAACACAGTAATTATCAAAAAAACAACTTAGTGCATCAAGTTCCCAATATTTACCTATAAACAACACGGTATTAGCGGAAAACAACCTAGTACATCACACTCACAATAGTAAAGTAAAAGCCTTTTTCACAACTTTAGGCGTATTGGGCATAGAGGGCTATACATGTATTTTATAGATCTATATTTTATAGACCAATTGACGCACGGTGTGTGATGCAGTCAGCATCATGCCTGCCGCCCTTACTTTCCAGGACTGCACCTGGTATCCATTCAAGGCTGGGTCGACCTGAAAGCCAAGGTCCTTTTATATAAAAAGTCTGGCTCTGTCAGGACCACATTTACAATATTTACCTATAAACAACTCAGTATTTACCTGAAAACAAACCCAGTACCTTACATTCGCAATATTTACCCATAAACCCCCCCCCCCCCCCCCCAGCAGTAGATAACATTCACAGTGTTTACCTAAGAATGAGTACCAACCACAGAGGATCCTACGAGCACCTAGCCATAATGTTGTAGTCAAAGAGTTTTACAAATATTCATGAATGGTATTCACAACAACAAAAAACAACAGGTTCACAATGAGATGTTACCTCAGGGTTTCTGTAAGGTTCAGCCTCGGTCCACTTCCAGGTGTACAAACGGCCATCTCTGCCAACGGCCACCAGGTCAGAGTACATGGCCTCGATCTGGCTAAACAAAGGCTGGTCTCCGTCCTGTTACAGAAGATCAAGATGCAGCTCAATAAACAGACAGAGTCAAGAGATAAAAAGGAATAAAAATGTCACTCATTCGTTTAATCAACTAATCGAGGCAGGAAGACAGACAGATACTAACACGTCAGTGATTCAGTCAACAATTAGAGGCAGGAGAGAGGGAACACAGATGTTGCTTGTTTGTTCAGTCAACAGTTAGAGGCAGGAAACAGACAGAAACCACATGTCATTGATTCAATCAACAGTTAAGAGTTAGTAGACAGACCTTGGTGTAAGACTTGTTCATACGTGTTTCAACTTCTTGTTTTGTGTTTGGTGATGAAGGCTTTCCAGCCACAACTTGCAGTGTCTCTTGTGACTGTGTTCTTGTAAAGGTTACCACTATCTTCAATTTTATCAGCTGGCTCAACTTTTGGACACAGATGATGGTCAAATACTCGCATCAACAAACAGTCAACTCTTGGACACAAACAAAGACAAGACAAAACCAGCAATGAATGGTCAATTTGCGACATAAATGTGGACCGCTGGCAGCAACAATAGTACACGTGTGAACAATAACAAGAAAATATCTCAGGCTGTTGGGAGTTGAGATATACACATGTGTACACATATTATACCTTATCTGTCCAATACTGCAACTCCTCCCCAATAACAAGAGGGTTTTGGGCTGGAGAATTTGGCTTCTTGCTTCCATCACAGCCTGCAGTTTCAACTTTGTCCCGCTCTAAAGACTTCAGAGTTTCATCCCTAAAAGAGGTCTCCAGTCGTCTTCGATGGTCTCTGATTCGGAAGATAGAGTCCCTGTCTAATTCTCTTTCCCTGTCACCTGAAGGGGAAAAAAAAACCTCGCTGCTAGAAGGTGAAAGCATGGATATAGATAACACCAGTATAGGACTGTTCAGTGCCAGGTGTTAAAAATATATGTATACTGGCTTTTGATTTTATGAGACTGAGTAACCAACTACCTTCAATGTCACAATTTTTTGCTTTAGGTAATTCTTTTTTTTTAAAATGTTGAAAACTCCTTGGAAAAAACATTGAAAGAGGTTTAGCCATGAAGACAACTTATCGTAAACATTAGGCAGTCAGTTGTTACTTTTGGACTGAACGGAAAAAAAGAGATTTAAAAAATTAAAGACTTGGCAAAAATGATCAGACCAATATTTTCAGACTGAACGGGACACCGTAAGGTCAGTGCACGCCTACATCGAATGGGTCTTGCTACTCTGCTGCGTGTGGTTCTTGGTCACCAAAGCAAACTCCAGAGTAGGTTTTACAGACTCTCCTAGTCAAAGAGAATAAATATGGCCTACAGCAGCATCACTATGAGAAAAACTATGGGGTACCAGTAAAGATCTTAAGAACACCATCCTGTTTATGACCCACACTGGAATAGACGCACAGCAAACACTGATGGCTGAAGAAGGAAAAGTCACTCAAGGGTCACATTATGAAACCAAAACTAACAAAAATGAAACTTGACCATGCTGTAGCAACTAGAAAGATTTATAGAAAGACAGGTAGAGGAAGATGGGAGCAGACTCCTGGCAGTCTTTCATCATCAAATGGAAAAGTGACATGATACAAACTGATGTGTGATGTTAAGATAGTGCATGAAACAGATGTTGAATAAACAATGCAAGGGTATCTTTGGAAAAAGCTACATATGATCACACTGACAAATTAAGACAACACCGTGACTACACAAGAAACAAGAAGTTTAATAAAAACTTGCATTGAAGGAAACATGCCGGAATCAGAACACATCATCATCACTGTCCTGTTGTGCCATTTTATTTCACAAAAGGCTTGCAGTCTATTCCTCCATTATGTTCTATCCTGTACGATCTCTTCAAAATCATGAATGGAATCCAGTCCCGCACAATTTAAGTGCTTCAGTGCAAAAAGAAGACACAGTTCGCTGTTACAGGATGTCATCGTAAATACATATGGAGAGGTTGTGTGCAGATGAAAACAATGAATGGTTACCATCAATACCTTGTTGTGCCATTATACTTTGCATATGGTTCATTGTCTATTTCTCCAGTACTAACAGGATGGATGACATCAACAGAATTACTGCAAGGAGCTTTTATGCCTGTAATATGAAGATGCAGGAAAGATTCTCAATAAATGTCCTTCAATGTGAAGGTGAAGCTTGTTTGACTTGCATCTAACAAATTGTTCTGACAGCAGGTTAAGGTTGAATTCAAAAGAATCCACTTCATTGCATCAAGTTTTATCCCATATGGCTCGGTCTCAGATGGGCTAACCGCCTGTCAAGAGCATGGCACAAAGCACAAACATCATAGCTCTGGCGATTATCCCCAAGAACCTCCGTAAAAATGGTACCTGTGAACCAGACGTGAAACGAACCCCCCAACTCTTTAGAGTGCAAAGCAAACGGCTTGACCACTTCACCAAGAAGACCCCTAAAACAGCAGGGAAAGCAAACACTGAAAATGCATCAAGAGAACAACCTATTCAGTGCTGCAACCAGTGACAAGGGTGAAGGACACAATCCCATATTACATGATCAAACAATGCAATGAGATCAACCTATTCACTGACAGAAGCAGTGATAAATGAGTGATGGAAACAATTTCTAATTATATGATCCAGAAAAAAAGCACAAACCTAGCCGAGACCTGGTGCCAGATCCTCTGTTCCGCAGTGAAGAATAGCCAAAGACATCCTCATTAAACATAGCATCAGCGTCAATGATCACAGAAGGATGTCATGTACCCCCGAGTCCAGCAGGGAGATGAGGTCATCGGGCACATACGAGTCCTGACTGTCATCATCATCGCCTTCACCCTTCATCATCACGACTCAACAAATTATTGACAGCCATGTTGACATCTAGATTCTGAGTTGCGAAACAAAACACAAAATATTAGATCTTAATACAGATACTACATAATATTAGATCAATATATCAATACAGACACAACATTACATTTTTCTTTAAACCACAATTATACAAACACTCAACTAGATAAATTATTTTCTGCTGATTAAAGGTGTACTGCTGCAATAATTCAAATATTAAGGTGAAAAATGTTTGCTAAATTTAAAGCAAGCCAGAATAACTGGACATTTTTAATGTTCCAGTGTTTGGTAATGTAAGCCCAAGTTGATCTAAAGATGACCACAATTTTAGTGTTCCAGTGTTTGGTAATGTAAGCCCAAGTTGATCTAAAGATGACCACAATTTTAGTGTTCTGAATTCATGTAATTCAAGTCCAAGCCAACCCACAGATAACTGGACAGTTTAGTGTTCCCCCCATGTGGGTTCCGGGGCCCCATTGTGGGGAAAACAAGAATAGACCCACTGCCTCCCCAAAAGCATGTCGTAAAAGTCCACTAATTGGGGAGCTTCCTTTGAAGTCAGAGTGCATCTGCCAGAGAGGCAAGGAACCAACAGTCTGTATTCAAGAGAATGAGACCTGTAAAACTGATGCACACACAACACTCAGGTTCTGGAGCAGGACTGCAGTTCAGTAGTGGTCGAGCAACCAGAACTTTCTGCCAGAGTGTACAGCTGATGAACGCGAAGAAGAAGCTTAGTGTTCCAATGTTAAGCAATCTAAGTCTAAAATAACACTAAATAATCTGTTGTCAAGCACAGCAGCCTACATGATCCAACTTTAACATCTGTAACTGTACAACCTGGCTATTTCCAAAAACTGTAAAAAAAACAGTCATCCATCAAGAACAACAACACTAAATCTGATGCCAAGAACAGCATATCATAAACATCAGTCCTCAAAAACAGCACATCATAAATAATGTCCTCAAGCAAGAACGGCGGCACATCCTAAATAATAGGTTTCTCAAGCACAGCAGACTGTAAACAGTCCTCAAGAACAAAACATCATAAACAATAGGCTCTCAAGATCAGCATGTCTTCCATCTTCAAAATGACAACAAGCAGCTGTGTTATTTTTTTTCAATGGCTATGATTTCTCTCCGATTGTTCCATTCCCTTATCATGCGCTGATATTTTGTGTACATTTCCAACACAGGATACTATGTGTTTTTCTTTGGAACAGCGTGTATTGTGGTCGAGCTACATTAGGGCCTTCAAAATGTTTTGATCGTGGTGGCCCACTTTCCAGAAAGACAGAATCTCGTCAGTGGGGGATTTCCACTGAAACAGAATGTGTCAACCATTTTTTTTTTGTGTGGTGGGGAGAAATTGACACATACGGTTAACCTCATGGGCCAAGAACAGCTCACCATAAATGACAAGTCCTCAGGAAAAGCACATAATAAATAACAGAAGAGACCACATGATTAGTTAAAGTGCTAGCTAAGTATTTCCCCATACAATATTTGTACAACAACGTGTCAAGTTATAACGATTTTAGGAAAATGGTTAAAATATAACTTGATTGTTACCGTTCGCTGAAGTTCCCGGATGATTAAGTTTCTGGATTTACCCTGCAGCACAACCTGGCACTGTAACAGAAAACAGCTCAAGTGTTCAATAACAGGGATAAAAGTTCAAAGACAGATATTAGGGGCTAACACAAAGATACAGGTATAAATAACAGTCACAGGTATAAGATAAGTGTAAAGGTGTAACTTATAGAAACGGGTATAACTAACTTATAGGCACAGGAATAACTTACATGGCAACTATAACTGACAGATATAGGTATAACTTATGTGGCAACTATAACTGACAGATGCATGTATATAACTTACGTGACAAGTGTAATTTACAGATAAGGTGTAACGTGTGGCAAATATAACTGACAGATACAGGTATAACCTGTATGGCAACTATAACTGACAGACACAAGTATGACTTGCATGGCAACTATAACTGACAGATACAAGTATGACTTGCATGGCAACTATAACTGACAGATGCAGGCATAACCTGTATGGCAACTATAACTGACAGATACAAGTATGACTTGCATGGCAACTATAACTGACAGAAACCAGTATTATGAAACTGTAAAGCCTGGCTTAAGCAGACAACTATTTCAACATCAAACATCTTACCTGACTGATCAAATCTTCCGGCACCACAGAGGCTGGAACCAGAGGACGTCCACCAACAATGACCCCTGACCTGCGGCCTCCTCGACTAACGTGTACAGCTCGCTGCATCCTGCTGAAGCCTGAAGGCTGGTTGTTATTGACACCTCCACTGGCACTGCTAGTGCTGCCAGGAGCAGCCCCGCTAGCTGCTGAGCCACCTCGGGTTGCTGTGGTGGGATTTGATGTCACGGTGGACCATCTCCTGTACACCATAGAGCAACATTAGCTACTGGCCTCAACAAACATCAGAGATGTATCATGAGAGGTTTGCATAACAACACAACATGAGATCTTCTGTAACTAAGCAACACAAGATGGTTCATAACTACAAAACATTACATGTTTCATAACACAAAAAGAAGTTTGATAGCATGACTTCCTAACAACACAACGGGAAATGTTTCATTAAACAACATGTGAGACTTCACTAATAATTTTAGAGGTTTCCTTTACACAGTATAAGTGGTTTTTATTACACATTATTTCTAACCACACACTGTGTGTGTGTGTGTGTGTGTGTGAGAGGTTTCATTAATTACACACACACATATATGAAACATCATATATACATATATATAATTATATCAGTCAATTTCAATAATATAATTGTGGTTACGCCCAATAATGAAACTGCTGTCATGTTCAATAACACTACTACTGACATTAATACAACTGCTGCCATGCCCAATAACTGTCATTATTACTACTGCTGCTATGCCTGCTAACTGTCATTAATACTTCTGCTGTTATGCCCAATAACTGTCATTATTACTACTGCTGTTATGCCCAAAAACTGTGATTAATACTGCTGCTGTTATGCCCAAAAACTGTGATTAATACTACTGCTGTTATGCCCATATACACACACGTGACCCCTAACACAGTTTTATATATATATATATATATATATATATACTAGCTGTACCCGGCCATGCGTTGCTGTGGCATAGTTTGGCTAAATAGAAATGAAAGAAAATAGAAATTGCACGTGTCTAATACAATCATTGTCTGCTCAGATACAGAGATAGTATTTGATCCGCGCCCCCCCCCCCCCCTCAACACCTCAACTAAATCCACCTACTACTCTCTCCCTCATCAAAGGTTTTTGGAAAAGAAAGACAATGGAAATCGTGCGTGTCTAATATAGTTAATGTTGCAATCATTCTCTGCACAGATATAGAGATAGTCTGGTTTTCCAACTTTAGAACACGCACCTTATAATTGTGTCTTTATATTAGTGGTCGTTTAAATGGTGTTATTAGCACAGTAACAAAAATGGTTATTTGGTTATCACATGCTAAAGCTGTTTGTATTTTTATAGGGGACGGAAGTAAAGCTACAACTGTACTTGTGAATAACAAAGTAAGTCGTAAAAAATAGAAAAGCGGAGGTAGCGTTAGTAAAATATAAACAAATTAGGTAATGAGAACTTGAAAATCACATGTAAAGCTCTTTAAGTTCTCTTAAATTTAAGTCATTACCCCCTCCCCTCTTCCACCGACTACTGCTCTCTCCCTCTTCAAAGGATTTGAAAATCACTACCTGGCGATATTTTTTTGTTGCTGTAACTGACATTGACATCCCTGTCTATCTGGACTAAAATAGGGAGCAGGAATTGTAATAGGTAGTGAATGGGGCTAGTGTAATATTTACCACATCATCCTTCAAGTACCAGTACAACTACTAAAATAATGTCACTGCTATCTGTGTTACCATCGGAGTAGACAGAGAGTCGTGAGCCAGAAGATTTGGTTCCGCATGGCTAGTGCTTTCGCCACAGACTGGTCAGGTTAGGATGTATAATTTCACTTGCCGACAGAAGAACGCCATAACCTTACCGGCGGTCTTCACATGAGAGCACTATGGTGTAACAGCCCAACCACAACTATTACTGCTGCTGCTACTTTAAGTGGGTAAAGCCGTTACTGCGACTTAAAGCTCTCTCAGTTAATAGTTTGCCCCCCCCCCCCCCCCCCCCCCCCCAATTCACCGACAACTCTTTCCCTCATTAAAGTAGTTGGGAGAAAAAAAAACTTGAAAAGCAAATAAACACAGGGAAAAAACATCATAATTAGGAAATGAACGCCATGGTAAACAGCACAGCTTAAAATTCCAACCCAGATGAAATAATTAAATCTAAATGAAAATAAATGAAAATCTATTAAATTTCAGCGCAACCATGCAATCGGAAAGTTTAAAAATGCAATCATAAGTATGCGAAATAGTCAAATTTAATTATCGAATGGTTTACCCATTTACTTTTTTTTTTATATTAAGGCAACATGGCTAGTGCTGTCACCACGACAGAGCAAATGAGGATATTATTTTAGTCCGGGGTAAAAAAAAATTTTACTGCTGCGGATTCGAACCCAGGTCTCCCGAACAGGAATCCCAGTGTTTTAACCATTCGACCAAGCAGCCACTTAATCGGATCAACGAAAAGAGAACTTAACTATTAGAGATGTGTGTCCCTACTACTGTGTCGTGATTAAAACACAATTCAAAACCGCAGGCAATTGTTTTCTCGTAGACAGATACTCCAGATAAATTAATGAAACGGCACAACAATAGAAATCGCACGTGTCTAACACGGTTAATGAAGTTAATGTCGCAGTCACTGTCTGCGCTGACGTCGAGATAGTCCTTGATGGCCCCCCCCCCCCTTTTCCCCCTCAATCGAAGGTTGTTTGAAAAAAAAACAGAAAATAGAAATCGTGTTTAATATGGTTATTGTGGCAAACATAGAGATAGTCTTGTTTGCTGTACCACGACCTACTATATGTATTAGAGAAGGCGTTGGCTGCACGTAACTCGCCGGCGAATGGTAACTACGACGCATGCGCAACAGAAAATAGAAATCGTGTTTAATATGGTTATTGTGGCAAACATAGAGATAGTCTTGTTTGCTGTACCACGACCTACTCTATGTATTAGAGAAGGCGTTGGCTGCACGTAACTCACCGGCAAATGGTAACTACGACGCATGCGCAATTACTAACGTGGCTATAATTAGAAATCACTAAAGGTATAAATATTAGTTTCGGATATTATGGCATAAATTGTGGTCACCTATCTCTAACAGGGACAGGTTGAATTTCAAACCACGATGGTTCAAAATCCGGTATCAAAACAAACATATCCTGAAAATTTCAGCTAAATCGGTTCAGTAGTTTCCGAGTCTATAAGGGGCAAACAAACACACAAACATTGATTTTTATATATATATATATATATATATATATATATATATATATATATATATATATATATATATATATATATATATATATATATATATATATATATATATATATATATATACACACACACATACACATGACACATATGTGTCTAGCGTGTGTAGTGTATTAATAATACATGAGAGGTTTCATAACCTTACTTCACTAGACAAGTCTAACTGACAATACACTGGCCACACTTTTGGAAGGGCTGAATTAAGACAGAAATGCGAATGTAAAAACTGGTATGCTTGCCCAATTTGTGACCCTTTGAAAAAAAAAATGTGTTTCTTTATTCCTGAATGCTACCTGAGATGATCCTTAAAAAAAATCTGTTCATAGAACAGTGGAGAAGACCAGAGAGGTCAATGACTGCCTTTATGTGTTGTGTTCTTAAGTAAATGTATATAGCCATATCCGTGAGCATAAGTAGTTTAGTTTTCCTCAACGATAGTTTTTTAAAAACAATGTTTTCCCGTAATAATTGTAATAATGCGGATACAAACAATACATTGCACAATTTTTTGCCAGGCATATTTTGCTGTAAATCATCAGGTGCGTTACTACAGAGTTACATTAACATAAAATAAAGCACAAAACTGAATAAATTCAACTGAAATGCGAACAGTTTCTTCGATACATTGATTCTGTTTCATGGCCTCTGTAGTAATGCACCTGATGAGATACAGCGAGATAGTTTTTTTCCCCCTGAATTGTGTGCCATTATTTTCTGGCTACACTGGCTAGTTTCTTGGCTTTCTGCCTCTCTAAATAATTTCCTCAGGTTTTACAAAATACAACTGCAAGTTGCTGCTTGGTTATTTATATCTTCTTCTTGTTCGCTTTCTGATTTTCACCCAAGGACAAGTATTCACATCTGATATTGACATATCTTCTTCTTCAGCTTAGCATTCAGATGCAGTAAACTGGTGGAAAGTTCTGGATGAAAGTCCACTTCTGAAGTTCAGTCTTATTTCTTCACAACTTGAGTTTTGTGTGCAAATCTGTTTTAAAGATCTGTATGCAGACTATAGGTTCCTCACCTCTCAGGCAGTAGCACTACTTCTAAAGGGAAAAAACCCTTAAATTTGCCTTTTACAACACTTTTATTAGGGAAGCAGTGGGTTTATTCTTTATTCCACCTCAGATTTGTGTTTATCCCCAAGATCAACATCATGGCACAAGAGTAGTAACACATAAGTGCTTCGCTCTACTTCTAACTCAAGCCTGAGTCCGAACAATCTCAGCGCAATGCATGAACTCTGTAGCACCAGCGAGGGTCCGGAAATACTTTGGGTAGATAAAATTAACTCCAAATTTTGTACAGACAGCACCGTCAGGCTACTCTTTTTTGATTTCCAACTGCCTACGAGTTTTTTTATGTTGCAACAATACACAAGGGCATTGATCTTACTACCCAGAGACAAGGGGAAATTACTAAAGTCCAAGTAAAAAAAAAAACCAGCCTTCACTGGAACCTGAACCCGGGACCTCTAAGCACTCGAGGTGGACGCCATACCTCGAGACCACTCAGCCCCCTCAAAATAGCACCTCAGAAATCACTCATAGAATATTGTCAGATTAAAGTGAGCTTACATCTCTGGCACTGTCACAGAGTGACTAGTCACAAAGTCAAAACCCCAACAGTTCAGCCAGCTGCATTTTTCTGGTATACAAACAAACCCAGAAACAGATTCCCATATATAAAAAAAATAAGGATAATTGGGCAATGTGGTCAATGTATTCCAAATGATGAGATAAAGAAAATTTACCCAGTGGCTGTTGACTGGGCAGCAGCTGATCCCAGGGCATCAGAGACCAGCACGATTGGGCTCTCCATGACGACGGTGCCACTGCGTGCTGTGGTAGAGGTGCGCTCAAGCTTCTCCAGTTTGCTTGGTTTTCTGGCAGTGAGTTGTTGGCACAAAGTCATTAGATTCATGTATGTGCAGGAGACAGACAAATACATACACAGGCACATAACAGTGTGCTTAATGATAAACAGAAAGAAACAGCAAGCAACACATCAATATTCCCTTGTCAACACAATAGCAACATCTACAATCTTCAGTAAACAATCTATCTGAGGTGTACTTACGGCTTGGTATCCGACTTGCTGAGGTCCAGCCTATCTGTGGCAATGTAGTAGGGAACCCTGCAGACCCTTCCATCCTAGAGAGAGAGAAAGGGACATTATAAAATACTCAAGTCTTTGACTAATTTGTCAAAAAGACTTCTCTAACCATATCTTCTTTCTACTGCAAACATCATCTTCATCATCATGTCTGCAAACTGGAGATGGGGTGGAGACAGACAGAAGCCAAGAAGATAATAGTGGCTCTCTCAATTAATTATTATTATTATTGTGTGCAGAGAAACCGATGTTGTGTAAAGTATCACATCTGCTGTCATATACCATTAGTATTTCAAATGTTATTTAAAGTAAAACTGCTGTCATTAAAGTCAGCTGTAACACATCTGCTTTGTCAAATGTAGTTAGTTATTCAATTGCTATGCCTGGCTCGCTAGCGCAGTTGGCTAAACAGAACTGTGCTGCGACCTGGTGACGAACTCCTTGTGGTCCGGGTTCACGCCCGGGGGTTGACAGAAAAGCTACATTACTCCTACATTTACGGTGTTTATCATGGAATCAAGGTTGAAGGGTTGCGATATCCATAATACTGAGCCAAAGGGTTAAAATAACAGCTCACGTTTTCTGGATACTTAAAAAAACATTAAATTGCTATGTAAAGTTATGCACCTACTGTTATATCTATTATTATAATACAATGTCATAATGGCCCATAATACAACAGCTCTCATGTACAATTATATCTGTCAATTACAATGATATAATTGTTGATATGCCCAATAATAAAACTGCTGTCATGTCCAATAACACTATTGCTATCATGTCCAATAACTGCCATTATTACTACTGCTGTCATGCCCAATAACTGCCATTATTACTACTGCTGTCATGTCCAATAACTGCCATTATTACTACTGCTGTCATGCCCAATAACTGCCATTACTACTACTGCTGTCATGCCCAATAACTGCCATTATTACTACTGCTGTCATGTCCAATAACTGCCATTATTACTACTGCTGTCATGTCCATTAACTGCCATTATTACTACTGCTGTCATGCCCAATAACTGCCATTACTACTACTGCTGTCATGTCCAATAACACTATTCCTGTCATGCCCAATAACTGTCATTATTACTACTGCTGTCACGCCCAATAACTGCCATTATTACTACTGCTATCATGCCCAATAACTGCCATTATTACTACTGCTGTCATGTCCAATAACTGCCATTATTACTACTGCTGTCATGCCCAATAACTGCCATTTTTACTACCGCTGTCATGCCCAATAACTGCCATTATTACTACTGCTGCCATGTCCAATAACACTATTGCTGTCATGTCCAATAACACTATTGCTGTCATGCCCAATAACTGCCATTATTACTACTGTTGTCATGTCCAATAACATTATTCCTGTCATGCCCAATATCTGTCATTATTACTACTGCTGTCATGCCCAATAACTGCCATTATTACTACTGCTGTCACTCCCAATAACTGCCATTATTACTACTGCTGTCATGTCCAATAACACTATTGCTGTCATGGCCAATAACTGTCATTATTACTACTGCTGTCATGTCCAATAACTGCTATTATTACTACTGCTGTCATGTCCAATAACTGCCATTATTACTACTGCTGTCATGCCCAATAACTGTCATTATTACCACTGCTGTCATGTCCATTAACTGCCATTATTACTACTGCTGTCATGCCCAATAACTGCCATTATTACTACTGCTGTCATGTCCATTAACTGTCATTATTACCACTGCTGTTTTGTCCAATAACTGCCATTATTACTACTGCTGTCATGTCCATTAACTGATGTTATTACTACTGCTGTCATGCCCAATAACTGCCATTATTACTACTGCTGTCATGTCCATTAACTGCCATTATTACTACTGCTGTCATGTCCATTAACTGCCATTATTACTACTGCTGCCATGCCCAATAACTGTCATTATTACTACTGCTGCCATGCCCAATAACTGTCATTTTTACTACTGCTCTCATGCCCAATAACTGTCATTATTACTACTGCTGTCATGTCCAATAACTGTCATTATTACTACTGCTGCCATGGCCAATAACTGCCATAAATACTACTACTGTCATGCCTAATAACTGCCGTTAATACTGCTGTCATGACCAATAACTACTGTTAATACTGCTGCGTGTTGTGGCACAAGCAATAATGAAAATCCACAGAACAGATTTACACCTGTATGACGGCCAGATAATGCAAAAAACAATCACTAAAGTCAAAGAGTTGCCACTGCAAGTATCTGCAGGAACTCACCTCTGTGAGAAGTGCCACATGACTTGGGCCAATAGCACACTGGCTGATGGTCATGCCGTTGAGGGAGTTCAGAGCTGAAGGTGCAGTAAAACCATGTCGGGTGAACTTCTCTGACACCTCTCTCAACCTGCAATGTAAAAAGCTGTGATAACTGATAGAAATTAAGTTTGGTGATAAACAGAAGTTAACTGTACATTCTTCACAGAGCATCACAGACCAACCCTAGCCGTTCATAATTTTAAGTTCAGTAGTGTGCCATATAAAATAAACAATGAACTCTCATATTCTTCTTCTCCTGTTTAGCATTCACCGGCTGTGAACTGCGGTGGAAAGTTTCTCGCGGTAGGTCCGCTTCTGGACTTTGGTATTTTTTTAAATTGAGCGTGTACATCTATTTTAGATTTGACTAATTTGTATGCAAACTGTTGGTTCCTCACCTCTCAAGCAGATGCACTCACTCCGACACTGAAGGAAGCATCCCTACTTAGTCACCTCTCACAACACGCTTTTTAGGAGGGCAATGGGCCTATTCCTCGCGCCCCTTTCCCTCAACACAATCAACAAAATTGTTAAAATCATTGCAAGGCAATCTGCTGCCAAAAGGCCTGCAACTAGACAGAGCCCAATATTTTAAAGTTATGAAATTATGTTCATAACCCATACGACTTCTTGATATTTTCAGAAAATAATATCAGCTGTCAAATAGGAATAGTGGAATCAATTTGTTCAATCATATATATCCTCAATGAAAATATTCTCACATTTTATTCAATAATTAACTTCTTGTTTACTGTAAACTCTGGTGGATGGTCCTGGCTGTTAGTCCACTCCTGGACTCTAGTCCCGTTCTAGAACTTGCATAGTGTGTGCACATCCATTTTACAGATCTTACTCATTTGTATGAAGACTGTTGGTTCCCTGTCTGTTAGACAGATGCACTCTTGACTTTGAAGAAAGCTCCAAATTAGTCAACTCTTATAACCTGCTTTTGGGTAGGCAGTGGGTCTGTTCTTTGTTTGTCCACCCACTATGGGGCCCCAGAACCCACATGGGGAAACACTATATATAGCCTGACACTTCATCAATCAGAATGTGTCAGACTTGCCATACTCTACATTAGAATAACATTATAAACCAGACTTGTCACATTATATATCAGCACATTATGAAATTTGACTTGTCAAACTCTGCACTAGAAGAATGCTGTGGAAACTGGACTTACATACCCTAAATTAGAACACAGTGTATACCAAACATGTCACACACTTCCCTAGAAAACTGTAAAATCTTCCTTATAACACAAGCCAGTACCATTCTCTTCATTACAACACTGAGCAAACAAGATCTGCCAGACTCTACATCAGAATAATTAAAATATTAGAAGATTATGACTCAGAAATTAGTGGAAATTATTCCACAGTTTCATATACAGCTCATTTACTTGATGTTGACAGTGTGAATGAGACTTTTCGGTTCTCCTTGCAACTACGGCCACATATTGGGGGAGTACGCCGGAGTTCATTCCCCTGGCCGCATTGCAATTACGGAATGGAGAAGGAACGAATCACACAACAAAGTGAGGTCTAACCCAAACCCTAACCATATGATGACAGCAGTGCACTGCACCCAACCCTAACCCTATGATGACAGCAGTGCACTGCACACTTTCTATCGCTCACGCTGTCTATCGCCAACACACACTAATTACGTCATTTGTTTCGTTCCCTCTTCTCCACTCCGTAATTGCAATGCGGCCAGGGGACTGAACTCCGGCGTACTCCCCTAATATGTGGCCGTAGTTGCAAGGAGAGCCCATTTCCTGACATAAGTGGCAAAAGAAGATTTGTTTTCCTTGAAAACTTCAAAATATAATGTACTGTTTATGGTGATTCTGTCAACCATAGATTTGGTTTGTAGAATGACATCTGTTATACTGCTTATGGTAAATTCAAAATACACTCTGCAGTTACTTCAAAACTATACTATCTTTCTAGAAACTAGCTGGATGGTGTAAAGGCTATTATTACTGAGTCTTCTTCTTCTTCTCTTCCACCTTGTACCTCAGTGAAGCGTCAGGGAGGATGTAATGTTCGTTGATAGGCTCTGTCAAAAGCACTATTAAGATTGATGTCCATTTCTGTAAGGCTGTTCTTAATGCCATCACTTCATTTTTTTTCTGAGGTCTTGCCCTCACTCTATACCCGTTGTAACATCTCAATGTAGCTTGCTGTGGTAGATAGTATGAGGGCATTCTTGTTAGGTGTTCAAACAACTTCATTTGTTGTTCCTTAATGACTTTTAAGACTGGCTTTATTCCTAGTATTTTTTATTCTGTCTCTTGCAGGTCTTCTAAGGCATTTCCTCTCTGTTGTCACAATTGTATGTTCATTAAAGGATGTAAATGTCTACGTTTGGCACTGATAGCATAGTCATCATCATCTTAAACCACTTCTGCCGTTAAGCGTTGTGGGGAGGAATAATTTGCGTTCCAGTGCACGTTGGCTGCCACTGGCTATTATCATGCCGTGAAGGCGTAGAGTGTCTTTAATGTTGTCGATCCATGTTTTCTGCGGCCGTCCTCTTGCTCTTGTAGTTGGTCTCTGAGATGTAGTGCTTGTGATGGTATTTGATCTTGCTGCATTCTAACGAGATGGCCAAACCACTTGATCTGCTGTTTCTCGATGAATCTAGTACAAGGTGTCGTTCCCACAATTTGCCTGATAGTTTCATTATTCACTCGATCTCGTATGGTTAGGTTGGCTGCTTTTCTCAGGCACCTTATCCCGCAGGTGGTAATTTTGCGTATATGGGCTTTAGATAGTGTCCATGTTTGGCACTGGTAGCTTAATGTTGGAATAAATATGCTATTAATAATCTGTCTCTTTGCACTCATAGTTATGCTTGGATGTCTTAATAATGGTGACAATTGGTATATAAGTGCACTTGCCTTCTGACATCTGGTTTCTATTTCTCTGTCTGTTCTACCATCTTCTGTGATCATACTTCCTAGATATTTAAACTCTCTAACTTGATTCAGGGCAGAACCATTCAGCTGTATGTGTAGTGGGGCAGAATGTCTACTAACTTGCATTGTTTCGGTTTTGTTTACATTGATCTTCATGTTGTATTTACTATGTGCTGAGTTTAACCTGTTAATGTGGTCTTGCAGTCTATGTTCTTCAGGGTAGAACAAGCACTGGTCGTCAGCAAACAGTAGTTTAACGTGGGCGAATCGATTACTTCTCCTGATGTGTGTACTTCCTCGTGATTATAAAGGTCTATGTTGTATAGCATAGTGTTGGCCTAAAAAAATAGTTTTGATAAGATTCACTCTAGTACTCCAGGGTATCTGATTGTGTGTCAACAGGGAAGATGGTTGTCCCATTACCTGACTAGCTTGCTTTAGCACATCTCGAGCTAATTTTTCTGTCCAATATTCCATCGGATGTTAAAATTGCTCCTAAATGAATACTTGAATTCCTTTGTTGTTTTTCTTAATGTGTTGCTTTTAACTGTATTTCTAAATTGTCTTTCTGTCTTCCTATCACTACTGTCTATGTCTTCGTAGTGTTTATTTTCATATTATATCCTCCCCTTTGTTATTAATTTGATTTAGGTGGTTCTGTAGACATTCCGCACTTTCTGCTATGAGTACTTGCTCGTCTGCAAATAGTTCAAAACTTAATTTTTATTAGGTTTTTTCATTTCTCAATCTTTTATTCTCACTTCTGATAAGCCTAATATTATTACTGAGTACTAACTGTTAATCAAACTTAATCAGCACTCAGAGTACTCACTTCTAAGAACTGGCACTTCACAGCTGCTGAGCAATAATCAGGAGAGGCAGTGTCGTGTGTCACAGCACAAACATACATATGGATTTAAGGAGAGGAGATTTAGTCTGGTCATTAATTTCATTATCAACAACAGACTTCGAACAAGTGCCCAGACTCCCAAGAGATTCAATCAATACATATGATAAAAAGTCATCTTAACAACGACACAACTAACAAAGCCAACAACAGACGAAACTTTTTTAAAATGGTTTAAGTAAAAAATATTTTATAAGCTATAAAATTGTGGTAAAATTATATCTGGTCACGTATAATGCTTTGAAATTTGTAAGAACAACATTTAACAGCCATTACTGATAACAGCAAACAACTAACTGAGCCCATGAGAAGAAATAAATCTCGATAACTGCAAGCACTAAGCCTCAAGTCGGACTCGAGACACCATCTTTATCGAGAATACATGACGTTTTGTTAACGGAATTAACTAAATACATACTTGTCGATTAGCTGATCGTCGTTCCCTGGTAAAGGCTGAACAACTAGGTGTAAAGAAGTCATTGTGTGTAACAATAAATGAAAACACTTATATACAACAAAATGCTAAACGTGGAATCTCAGAAAAGCTCAAATGCTCTCATCAAGTCACAATCATACACGGTAGAAACGCCATTTTGGGACCTGTGACGGTCTGCAGCGAATATTTTCTTCCTTCCTATTGGCTAGATGATAAAAGCGCACATAAAAATACGCATTTCTTGCCTATCGATGTGAAGACGCACATGGATAATAGCATATGAGTCGAATTGATCGTCTTCCACGGGAGTACACGTGTCGTATAGATAGTCTTCCACGGAAGTATATGGGTCGTATTGATCGTCTTCCATGGGAGCTCATGGGTCTATTTATTGTCTTCCACGGGAGTACATGGGTCGTATTGATCGTCTTCCACGGAAGTACATGGATCGTGTCGATCGTCTTCCATGGGAGCATATGGATCGTATTGGTTGTCTTCCACCAGAGTTCATGGGTCTTATTGATTGTCTTCTACCAGAGTACATGGGTCGTATTGATTGTCTTCCACCAGAGTACATGGGTCGTATTGATTGTCCTCCACCAGAGTACATGGGTCGTATTGATTGTCTTCCACGGGAGTCAATCAATCAATCAGGTGCCGTCTCCACAATGAAGGTTGACTGCAATGGATCTCCAACAAGCCCTGTCTCTTGCCCTTGATGTACACTTACTCATACTGCTGTTCGTCCATCTCTTGATGTTATCCTCCCACTTGTAACGCTGTCTTCCTTTTGCTCGCCTACCTTCAACCTTTCCCTCTAGGATGATCTTTACAATACTGTTATATCTTTTTATGTGGCCAAAATATTTCACTTGTATCTTTTTTATTTCACCTCTCTTTTCATTCCCAATTTCCTCAGTACCTCTGTATTTGATAGCTTTTGTTTCCATGAAATACGACCTTATCTTCTGTATATCCACATCTCCAAAGAATTGATACGATTTTCCAGTTGTTTGTTCATTGTCCATGTTTCTGTGCCATACAGTAAGGTTGAGAATACATAACATTTAAAAATTATCATTTTTAATGTATTGCTTATTTCTCTTGATGTCAGTAACTTTTGCATGTTGTTGAAAATGTTTTTGGCCATCCCTATTCTTTTCTTGACTTCTGTTTCACTTCTGCCGTCACATGTTATTACTTGTCCAAGATATAAGAAATTTTTAACTTGTTCCAATTTCACCCCGTTCACGGGAGTACATGTGTCGTATTGATTGTCTTCCATCGGAGTACATGGGTCGTATTGATTGTCTTCCACGGGAGTACATAGGTCGTATTGATTGTCTTCCACTGGAGTACATGGGTCGTATTGATCGTCTTCCACGGGAGCACTTGGGTCGTAGGCCTACTGATTGTCTTCCACGGGAGCACATGGAAAGTATTGATCGTCTATCATGGGAGCACATGGGTCATTGTCGCATGCAGGTCGCGCACTAAAACACACCAATATTGAATAGCGCATATAGGACGTCAGATGTTGTTACGTATCGTTGTTAGGAGTTTGAGTCGAAGAGCTGCGGCCAAGAAGTCCGGGAAGGCCTACGTGTGGTCCTGGCTGGCGGATACCGGATAATGATTTTACCCTGGGATCTCACCATGAATATCAGCTTAAATTCTGGGCCTTAAAGAAGCATGTTATGCATACAAAGAGTCGCAGCCAAGCAGTAAAAGAGGACGAACGTGTATGTCTGAGTGTGGTTCATTCCTAGTGGAGGATTTACCCCGGAGTACCACAGAGAGATCAGCTTAGAGGCTGGAACGTGAGGTGACAGAGATCTGAGTCGTGGTTCTAAAGAGAGCGCAAGAGAACTGAATTCAGCGTTACTGCTGTACTTTGGAAGTGTCGACTTATTCTGGCTCACTGATATTGTCAGCTGCATATTGGAACCGGTGGAAGAAACTGTCAATGTTCTCCAAGGTTGAGGCGATGACCTATAGAGATATCTTGGTGCCAATATAGCTGTGATCGGATATTTAGTCCTGTGATTTCCAAACTGTGCGCCGCGACCTTTTCACAGGGGAGCCTCGAAATATTCGAAGATACACGAGTTGTTGTTGTTTTTTTTTTTTTTTTTTTCTACATACGAATAGTCTACTTCTACCTAGGCTAAGGTGCCTTAGAAAATTTTTAATTAAAAAAAAAAAAAGGCGCCGCGACTAAGAAAAGTTTGGGAAACACTGATGAAGTCGAATCTTCATCGAGAGTGAGTTTGGGGACGTTAGAAGTGATTAGCGTTACATGGCATGTTGGTGAGTTCTTTGCACTTTTCGTTTTCGCACGCATTATCTGCATTGAAATTGCAATACACCTTGGGTACGTTCACTCCCTGGCGTTGTTAAGTTGGAAACGTTAGGCATTCAGAATTGGATTGTACTGTCACCACTGCCCAGTTGTAGTCGGAGTTCTGGACTGTTGTCACCCTTACCTTGATTGAGGAATGTTTGATTGTTAAAATCACATTGACCTTAGCGTGCAAGCTGACTTGAACTTCGTTGGGATGAATACTGCCCCTACGCAAGTATCAGTGAGAGCCCTCGCAATCATACCCCATAAGAACCCTGGCGCACGTAACAAATGGGTGCCTTCGCCTATCAACAGCATTCACCTTAGCACTCCATAGTCGTATTGACTGTCTTCTGTCGGAGCACCTGCTTTGTACTGAATGTCCTTTTTAGAGGCACATGGGTCGTTTAAATTGTCTTTTTGTATGAGCACATAAGTCGTTTTGTCGGCTTTAAGGTAAGGGGGAAAGTTGTCAGTACTCACCACTAAATGTCTAACAAAAAAGATCAATACTCACCATAAAATGTGTAGTGTGCTCGCGCTAAAATAAAAATGCCTACAAAGGGCTTCGGTACTTCGAACTGTTGCATGCCACCAGAAAAGTAAGCCCAGCTCGTACTAATTGTATTTTTGATGATCACATGGGTCATATTGATTGTCTGTGACAGGAGCACATGGGTCGTATTTACTGTCTTTTTTATGAGCATATGGCCGGCATACATTGTCTTTTGTAGGAGCACATGGGTCGTATTCATTGTCTTTTGTAGGAGTACACAGGCCATAATTATTATCTTTCACTGGTGCATAACTGCCTTCCATAGGAGCTATCTGGTTATACTGACAGTCTATAGCAGGAGCACATGGGTCGAATGGATAATTTATAAGGATGAGTCGTATTGTTTTATAACAGGAGCACACGGGTCATATTGAAAGTCCATAACAAGATCATATGGGTCTTATTAATAGTCTATAACAAGAGCACATGGGTCGTAGTGATTGTCTATAATAGAAGCACATGGGTCGTATGGATTGTTTATAATAGGAGCACATCAGTAGTATCGATTGTCTTCCACTGGAATTTTTTTTTCACTGGGGGAGGGGAAGACAGACCCAGTACCTTTCCCTAACAAACAAAAAAAACAAAAAAAAAAAAAAAAAAGTAAAGTAAAGTTCCCTTTTCACGCCTTTCGGCGCATCGGGCATATGGGCAGAGCGTCCCATATTTTTACAGACCATCAGCACTCCGTGGGTAATGTGGTCAGCATTTCGCCGGCTGTCTTTACTTTCCCAGGACAGCCCATCCTGGTACCCATTCTAGGCTGGGTCGACCTGCGACGTCCCATACCACGACTAAAATCCACGCAGCCTCCAGTGGGTTTCGATCGCGGTATTTACTGTCTTTTTTATGAGCATATGGCCGGCATACATTGTCTTTTGTAGGAGCACATTGGTCGTATTCATTGTCTTTTGTAGGAGTACACAGGCCATAATTATTATCTTTCACTGGTGCATAACTGCCTTCCAATCATGTCACGAAAAGGGGTGTTTCCTTCGAAGTTGGAGTGCACTATCCTGGGGGGAGGGGCCGAAGAACCAACGTTTTGCAAGATACTAAAAACAGTTGTGCATGCAAAACTCAAGTTCTGGAACAAAAGTCCTGAAGTGGACGATAACCACCTACAGACAGCTAAAACACGTATAAGAGCTATAAACAAAGAGGCGTGGCTGAACAGATGGGAGATATTGGAAGAAAGGTCTATAGATACATATCTAGCTTTGATCCTTATGATAGCCATTAACCATCTGACAAGAAGGGACCAGGCCAACATCTTCAGACTCAGAACACAACACAACATACTCCACTCAATGGACATCTAAACAGGATACAGCCACAACACCCCTCAGAGTGCCAGCAACGTAACTACAACTACGAAACTGTTGACCACCATCTTTTTGAGTTCCCAAAACTCAGAGAGATTAGAAGAATATTACTCCCTCTGAGACCAGACAAGTAAAACTCCTTGTACGGAGGAAAAGAACAGCTTGTGAAAACATTCAAATTCCACTACATGGCATTGGGCCAGAGGGTGAAAGCTCATGCACTTATAAGACTGCGGGGTCCTAATGGAGCAATGATGCGCAACACAAGACTCCTAATGTCTATTAGCTTCTCTTGCTCAAGCCTACCTCACCTTCACGTGGTGAAACCTGTTCTTTCCATCTTCCCAGTAATCCAGTGGAAGGTTGGGGTCTTAACACTCAGCGGGTAACTGGACGGGACAACAAATGAGGTAATGGCAAAGGGATGAACCCACCCTCCCTCTTAAAAAAATCCTGAAGTCGAAAATACTGCGACCAATCGGCACTTGGGGGGTGATGTGGTCAGCATCACACAGGCCGCCTTTACTTCCCAAGACTGTATCTGATATCCACCCAAGGCTGGATCGACCTGGAAGTCAAGGTGTGTGTGTGTGTGTGTGTGTGTGATTACACTGTCAGACGAATGTAATATTGGCGCTCGTCCTTTGAAGTTCCACCACGCACCACAATGCCGGATTTTGAGCCTCCAATGAGTCCACCCCCAGCTATTGGAGGACCTCCTAATGTTCCTTGTACAGTACATTAAGAAGTGAATACTGGATCACTGAGTCAAAAGTGTACTAAAAGTTGTATGGAACTACAAGGGAATTCTTAAAAATA